CCTGGTGCTTGTCTTTCTGAACAGTCCGAGGAGGATATTGACGTCACAGCTCTTGGCAAGCAGCTGCCTGAGAATATCTCGAACCCCCTGTATGAGAACACAACCTCTGCTCCCCCAGAACCTTCCTACGACCCCTTTGTGGTGAGTCTGCATTATTTATTTAAGAACAGGTTCCACTGGGTACAGGGGAGTGACGTCTCTCAGTGGAAAGCTTCACACCAAGAAAAGCTCACTTCTAGAACAGTCTGGGGCAACAAGCCTAAAAGCCAGCGTCGCAAGTGGAGGGAGCCACGCGGCTGCTCAGTGTTTCTGGGTTCCTTTGGGTGGGTGACAGAAGCCCCAGCAATAAGAAGTAGGGGAGAACCAGAGGGTGCCCCACACCAACCTCACAGTCAGGTGACGTGTCACGAGGAGAAGGAATGAGCTAAATTATGCCGCACACATTGATGATGTTGCTGCTGGGAAATAAGACGTAAAGCCTTTGAACGGTACGTTTCCTTTGGTTATGCTTTAAACTTACATTTACATGGTTGTCCAAGATGGTCCTGCCTGTTGTCAGAGCGGCTTCGGGCTTTAGGAGCTCCGTTCCTCTGATGATGTCTTTTCCATCCGGGGGTGCACGCTCTGCCCTGGTTTTCGAGAAGAGGGCCGTTTGTTTCTAGAGTTGGTGATCCTTGGACTTAGAGGGGGCCTCCACTGACTGCAACCCAGGGGGACCCCACGTCAGGGTACCGCACTTACACTGAATGTGGAAGGTATACCCTGCCTGCATTGCCAGGTCTGGGCTGAGAAGCTAGGGATAAAGTTGAATTCTTCCTTTTATATAAAGATAAGAAAAACTGACAGCTGGTATGCTGAGTGCCCTTGCGTACCTCAGCAGACTGAGGTGAAGGCCTTATTCAGGTCTAAGGAAATACTCAGCTTGTATGAGTCTAGAACCTTCCTGCGATAGTAACCAAAACCAGAGAGCTGTTGTAATAGTTTCTTGCGAGGACGTATGCTGTCCCTCTCCCCAAAGCCTGTATTATGGTTGTTGAATTTTTGTAAGTTGCACTGAAACATTACAAAAATATTTTATTGCACCATTTGAAGCTCGTGCAGTGCATTAGATGACATTTTTCTGCAGTGGCCAAACGTGAATACTTGCGGTTCTGACTGTCTGTGGTACTGCAGTTGCAATAGATTGAAAAATAACCACATCATAAATCCTATTTTATTCTTTAATCAAACCCATGTAAGTGTTTCTGGTCTAAATTGCAAGGGTAAGTTCAGCTAGATTGCATGCATTAATATTTTATTTCTGCAAGCATGATGCTGAAATCAGCCTCATTTAAAAAGCAGAGGGAAAAAAGCCACCCACCCTGTTCACCATGCTGCGTGCCTTCTCAGCCAAGGGCTCTGTCAGCACTGCGCAGGAGAGGCTCACCTGAGGCAGGGGAGAGAGTAGCCTCGAGGCAGGATTCAGGCCACATGGCCAAAATGATCCAGTAACAGGAACACCAAGCCAAGGGCACCATCCCAACAAGTGGCATGCTAGAATCTTGTGCCTTTTGTATCCGTCGCCAACCCAGACATCTCAAAGGCATCCATTATGCTAATTAACAAAATTTCAGTGCTCATCAGAGGGAAAGACAGCAGGAAGCTTCGGCAGCTGCCTCTGAAATAGGGCTTCTGACGGACTCAATGCTCAATGGCCACCCCTGGTTCAACATGAAATTTCAACCTAAAAGGAGTTTTATGTCCTTTTAGGTAATCATAGGAATAGCCACTATTTGTGGGGTGCTTATACCTTTCTTAATATAGTATCTAATTTAATCCTCACACCTATTACGACTTTTTATAGGTGAGGGAACTACAGCTGAGTTTCAATAATCTGTCCAGGGCACACAAGCTTCGAACAGCAGTAACTGTCCCCACAATGGAGCCTCTAACAGCTAAACCATCCTACCTTCCAACACGAGACATGAGACGGCCACGTGCAGGAGCGTTCCCACCACACATGTGTGCACAGGGCACTGAGGAAGAGTCACAGCTCAGGCTACAGAGGAAGAGTTTTCCTCAGTCCTCTTAGTCTCAGGCTGGGTCTGAAAAGTAAACTGACAAAGACTGATTCACAAGAGAAAAGCATATCCATTTTATTGCATGTTTACATGTAAATGGGAGGCTTCACAAGAGAATGGAGGCCCAAAGAAGCAACCAGAGCAGGAAGCTTTTATACCTTTTAGACAAAGAAACAATACATTGGTGAAGAATTGATAAGACAAAGAGGTTTGGGCCGGGGTAGTAAATGGTGAAGAAGTAACTAGGAAGACAAGGTCGGTTTAACCAGATTGGCTTGTACAGGTTTCCTGGCCCCAAATTCCTCATCTCTGGTGGTCAGAGTGTCTTCTTTCCTCCTGGTACAAGGATCACAGGGGAGTTTTATGACCTGTGTTGCAGACGCTGGGGACCAGGGAGACGAGGTCAGAATGACCTCCCTGCTTCTGCCATTACTTTTTTAATTTCTCCAGCCAAGGTGTCGCATTTTGGAGTAGTAGGTCCTGAACCTCATCTGGGCCTCAGACCAGTGGCCAAAAGAAACACTCAGCCTGGAGAGGTTCAGCGAGCCGGGGGCGCGGGGCCCTCTCGGTGCGTTTCACAGGCCTCTCTTTCCAGGACTCCTCCGAAGACCCGCAGCTGGAGGGCAGTGATCCGCTGGGGGCGCTGTGAGGGCCCAGCCCGCTGCAGCCGGCCTCGCTCCCGGCCACCTGGGCACCGCGGCCTCCTCGCAGAGGCTGCCAACTGTGAATCCTCGGCCCCTGTTGCCTCTGGGGACCGGCAGGTCCTTTAGCGTTTTGAAGTATATGAAGCACTCAAGCCGTACCTCATCTCTTTGGTCCATCTGGGGGGTTTTGTTTCGTTTCTGTGGGTGAGGGACCGTGTGAAATCCACCCACCAACTCAGGGGACTTCTCCCTCCTCTGACCTTTCGCTGTCCTTCCTGTGTACCCTTAGGTGGATCTTACTCCGTTCTACCCAACTCGATAGTAACTGTGCCCTTGTCTTATTTTCCTATTAGACTGTAAGCTCCCGCAGGCAGGCACTCGCCCATTCACCTTGTATCTCAGCCCTTGGTGCAGTGTCTGGCACATGAAATGTGCTCAATAAATGTTTATGGAAAAGAAGTAGAGTCCACGAAACAAGTCTACTATTTTGGGAAACGAACAAAAATACTGTTTGCCACTGAAGGGGTCAAGCTTTGAAGATAAAATCCACTTACTGGACTTAACTAGGGTCTTTTCAGCAGCCAACATCTGCTTCATGACTTATTTCGTAATTGTTTTGTTTGTGTATGCATTAAGAAGACACAATAAACTGCAACAATACTGCTTCCCAACCACCAGGATGGCTGCAATCAGACAGACAGATCATAACAAGCGCTGGTGAGGACGTGGAGAAATTGCAGTCCTCGTACATTGCGGTGGGACTGTAAAATGGTGCAGCGCTAGGGACACTTCGGCAGTTCCTCGAAAAGTTAAGCACAGAGTTACCATATGACCCAGCAATGTCACTTCAAAGTGTATATATATAACCAAGAGAGATGAAAGCATGTCCGCATAAAATTACACACACACGTTTAGAAAAGCATTATTCACCATAGCCAAAAAAATGGAAGCAACCCAAATGCCCATCAGCTTATGAATGGAGAACCGAATTGTGGTATATCCGTATAAGGAAATGTCACTTCGTCTGAAAAGGGACCTAAGTGCTGAAACACACAACATGGATAAAACTTGAACACACTGGAGCACATACGGTACATTCCATGTATATGAAATTTCCAGAACAGACACATTCAGAGACAGAAAGTAGATTAATTCATAGTTACCAAGGACTGGAGAAGGGCAGAATGGGATTAACTGCTACGAAGGGTGTGTTTATTTTTTGGTGAAAACATTCTGCAATTTTAGTGGTGATGTGCAGGACTCTCTGTGCTACACAGAATGTCCACGACACCAGGTCCCTGCCCCCACAGTGCCCTTAGTGCCCCCCCATGACTGTGACAACCAAACGCCCTCCAACCCACCCACCACACATTTCCAAATTGTCCCTTGGGGGTTAACTACTGGCTGAGCATGGGAATTTCTGCAGGGACGGAGAAACGAAAGGCTGAGACTCCTCTCTGTTCTTTCCCAGCCCACGTAACTTTGTCCTACATCATCGTGGTTTTTGCTGAGTCAAGTCCAAAGTTCTGGAAGCCCCAGAGCATCTTGTAAGCTTTCCACAACTCCAGGAAAGGGAAGAAGTCCCAGTTCCAGGAAAAAGAACAGCCTACCATCTCCTCTAGGACAACCTGTCGTGGTTGGAGGGAAGCCACGTGTCCAGGAAGTCGCTCCCCAGAAATAATGTGGCACAGATTTGCTAGGGGGTCCACCAATGCCACCATCACGGGTACCCAAAGGCAAGTGATCGGAAGGAGAAACAGCAGGCTATCCATGGGAAAGTGACAGAGTAAGGGCCTGGCTGAGGGAGAGGTCCAGGGTATCGGGGTGTTCACACACACACATGCACACACATGCTTAAACAGATTTTTTAAAAAAGCTCTTCAAAATATTTAAATTTATCCAAAACTCAGTATTGCTCTGCCTTTGTAGCACTCCCTCCTAATTCATTCTTATTCAGAATTTTCTTCCCTTAAAACACCGCTTCCAATTTCCAGCTCACCAGGTACTTTAAAGGCAGGCAAACACGTGGGTGACCACCTTCCCCTGTTCTCAAGGAGGGAACTGTCTGTGGGAGAGAGGAATTCCAGGCGGGGTGCCTGCGGCCCACCTGCAGCTACGCTCGCACCGCTTTTCCGTCTGTGGCTTCCCTGCACGGCCTTCAAGCCCTGAAAACATGCAAGTGGGCTTTGCGGGGCATGATGGGATGAGGATGGTTGGAAGTGAACCCTAAATCTGTCCCCCTCCCACAGGGATAGTCCTTTTTTGGTTATATGAGAATCTGTCATGGCTTTGCCACTAACCGAGGCACACAAAAACCAGTGACTTCCAATAGACTGGATGATACAGTTCTCTTTTATTTGGCATTAAGTTCAATACGATCTAACAAAATCAACATTTAGAATAAATAGCAAATTCACATTCAGAATAAATAGGTCCACCTAGTTTGCATTTACTGTGCCTGCTATCACACAGGCACCAGCTGTCATTCTACTAAGTCATTAGAAAACAATTTCCTAGTTCAGCGTTCACGCCCGCAGCACCAGGAAAGCACAGAAGCGCTGTGGCGGGGCGGGTTCCCCAGAAAGCGGACGCCGCTGAGATGCAGATTCACGTGCAAGAAGTTTACGAGGTGTGTTCTTGGGATCCACGCCTGGGCAGGGACGGGAGGTCCAGGGAAGGGAGCTGCTCAGAGGAGGCTGCGTGACATCGGCCAGGGCAGGGCTTTTCAGGAGACACTCCCAGGGAGGGCCCCCAGCCCAGCGGCCAGAGCGCCCAGCCGCCGGGGGAATAAGTCCTTCGGTGTTGAAGGGTTACCTGCACAGCCACGCCCATCACCCATGATGAGCACAGTTGCAAACAATTAAAATAAGAGGTATATTCAACTAGAGCCCGAGGCAGGCAGCTCAACTGCCCACGACCGCGCCATGTGCTGGAAACACATACTGGCCACACAGGTACATATGCCCAGAGAGTGGCTCCTCGGAGAATCTGGCACACTCACCTATAGAACAACTCCCTACTGTCTGCCCCCACTATTAGGTTGTTCACTGGCACGCTTTTTTGCGTTAGAGTAGGGGTTGCACACTATGACCCAAGGGCCAAATGCAGCCCACAACCTGTTTCCATCAATCCAGCTGTAATGACACAGAGCCGTGTCCATTCCTGCAATAGGACGGCAATAGTGGCACTAGGATATGGCCCGCAAGCGGATAATATGTGCCATCTGGCTCTGCACAGGGAACGTTCACTGACACCCCCACCCCCACCCCTGCATTAAAGAAACTTCACTTCCTTTCCTTTCCCTAACCCACGAGGATATTAGAGGTTAACTGACCTTGGAGCCAAGCTCCCAAATGCTAAGGCAAATAAAAGAGAGAAAAAAATAGATAATTGATGCAAAAGGAAATTGATAATAAGAGGGCAGAACATAGGCCCTCTCATAGTTGAATAGAGCAATCAAGGAACCCTGCCTCTGGCCAAATTTAGTCTTAGAGAATTCTAGAAGAGGGCCCCCAAGTGGGTCTGTGGCAGCAAATGAGCATCCAACATAGTGGAATTCAATTCTAATATTGAGCACAGCTCTCTGCTGATTCAAAGGCCTTTGGGGAGGGAAAGACAGGAAAAAAGCCATTTAGTTCATCCAAAGCTAAATTAGCTAGGCGGAAAGATTGCTTTCCATTTCTCCTTGGCAATAATGAAGAGGGCCGATGCATTCAAAGCAACTAGTAATTTAGTCTGAGATGTGCCCGAATGAGTTACAGGTGGTTTATGTTCCATGGCATTAATGGCGACAGCAGCAAAAGAGAAGAGGGTGAGAGAGAGATGTTATGTTAGGAGGAAAGTGGGAGCTCTAAGCCGAGCTCCTAAAATATTTAAACAGCCAGGTTTCATCTATAGAAGCAACTCTGGAAAATCAACCGTGCAGGCCCCTTCCAGGACGACCTGCTACAGGTACCACCCACCTTGCTTTCAGCTGGCACGGACTGCCCTGGGACTATGAATTTTTGTTCACGTGATTCTTAGCAAATTCATCTAGCCAATGCTAAAAATGGAAAATATTTTTAAATGTGCACACGAATTTTATCCTGTTCGCTTTCCAAATTGTTATTTTGAAGGGTGGAAAACAGACTCACTTCCCTTGTACCAACAGGCTCTCTCACCCGTGTGTGCACAAGAGGACAAGCTGGAAAGAACACGATGCCCAGGGCAGCGTGCCGAATCCCAGCGGAGTCAAGACAATGACTGAGCTGGACGAGGACAGCAGCGCCTCTGTCCTGCACGTGGAGACGGCGGCCCGACCCGAGCTGCAGGCCCGGGCAAGGGTCTGCCAGGCACCCGGTCCGGGGGTCCCGCCGAGACCTCATGCGGCAGCTTCAGTACTGCCCTGTTCAATGGCCCAGAGACCAAAGCCTTAGTTGGTAATAAATCGCGAATTTCATTATTCATACCCAGAAAATGTATTTCTTCCCCTGAGGCTTGGCTCACGTAACCTAAGCCTCCATGAAAGTGGGTTTTAAAAACAGTCTGCTTCATTCTCGAGTAAACAAAATACACAAAACACCCTGTAAGTGGCACCTGGGACACATCCAGTGAATATCTGATCAGATAAAAACTGAGACATTTTTTTAAAAATAACTACTTCCTCACCTCCTGCAAAGCAGAAGCCAAAGGCACCAGCGTGTCCTTTGAGGACCCCATCACTGAGCAGTTCTGGGCACCCACCTGCACCCCTTAAATGACAGTCTCCAATAATCTCTGATTCTTAACACACCTAGGAGCTAACAAACAGTAAACAAAAGGCCTGCCCCATTCCAGAAAAGGAAGGGACCACTGTGTTTATAACAAAATTTAGCAGGAAAAAAAGGGGCCTAATTGATTGGGCCTCCTGGGCCTAAAGGGTCACCTTCACTATCACAGTGAAATACAAGAAACATTACAAGTAAAACCCCATTATACCAAGTGGCATTACTAAGCATGCTATAGGACTCACTTAATGTCTGCATTCTGCAGGCAGCCTAGGGAATGCCAAGCTAGCATTCTGTCAATAGCTGGTTCCAATAGATACATTTATTACTGCAATAAAAATGCTGAATTAGCAAGCCCTCTCCACAAGGTCCATTCCTGCACCTGCCATGCATCAGGTTTGAGAATGTAGGTCACTTGCACTGTCCTTAGAAAGCCACGAGAAATACCCACTTAGCTAAGTCATTTCTAACCCTTTCCCTCTAAGTTTCAGCGCCCTTTGTTCTCCCCCAACTTAAACACAGACACCTAAAGAAAACTCCCCAGTCTCCCAAAAGAGTGGCACGAACGTGGCAGGAAAGAAAGCTAAGGGGACGGCGGGGTGGGAGACAGCTAAGCGCTGAGGGCTGAATGCAAGCCCACGTCTAAGCGAGGCAGCCTGTTTGCTGCCCTCCAGGAAAGGGTGGTTTCCGGTAATGCCTTCGTTTTAGCAAGATACCAACACAACCCAGTGAGGGTCATGGCATGGCATTTTCATTAGCTGGGGTTTTTTTTTCCTGTTTCCTTTTCTGTCCTCCAATGAGCACATCAAACCAACACTCAGGTGGCATTTTCAGGTGACCCACCACCAAACATCGGCTCTGACCTGCTTGTTGCTCACAGCCTTATCCTACCAAATCTGTTCTGCTCGCTGGAAATGTAACCAGAAGCCCTTCTCTCCTTCTCTGGGGAAAAGAGCGAACCCGCCCATGACTTGTGGCACCATCTGTCCTTTCCCAGCGTGGGGCAGGACACAGGGAACAGATACTGAGGACAATCCAGAGCTAAGGATTTGCCTCTCCCTTGTTCTCTTCTCAAGTGGCACACCGGAACACCAAAGCCCTGGGACCAAAAGGCTGGGGGATGGGCTGCTCTTTGGGGATCATCTCCGCTACGCACTGTCGCATTTTGCTACTGTAGAGCCAGGAAATCATCAGCTTTCTGCAGGCAGGTTATGGCTGCCTGCCTCTGTGCCCCTCCCTTCCCAATGCACTGCCTGTGTATGTTCAGTACGTTTTCCAGGGTGGAGTCAGGAACAGTGTTCAAAACTTCGCCTACTGGACTATGGACATGGCATCAAGAAGTCTCAGCTGTCCCTGAATAACTGACACCAGTCACAGTACCTCGGTCAACAAGAAGACAGATCACAGAGCTCCCACATGCAGCTCGCTATTCAGCCCGACGCGTGCCAGAAAGTGGGACTGGTGCGCTGCTGGCTTCTGTCTCAACGACCTGGGCAGTGTTCTCCAGAAGGGACGAAATAAACATCAAAAGGCTTAGCTGTGTCTTTTCCGAAAGCAACACTCACATCCACACAAAGTCACCCCCAGGGCGTCTGCCCAGTCTGGGGCCGGGGCTGTTTCTGGCCGGGTCCACAGGGGAGCACCGGGTTACTTGGCCTGGGCCTCCTGCAGGAGGGGCAGCCGGCAGGTGTGGGGCCCATCGGACCACGCGGGGAGCTCGTGCTGCAGCGGAGTCCTCCTGGGGTAGAACGTGTGGCTGACGTCGTAGTTCAACAGGCAGCTCAGAGACGCCATGTAGATGTCGGCAAATCGCGACAGCCGCCTCAGGAAGTAGGTTGGGTTCTGGTCTGTGCGGAACAAGCTTCCGAACTGGGCATTGAAGAAACTTTTGGTCATCTCTCTGAAGAGGCAAGAAAAGAGGGGCATGGCCAAGAATGATTCAAAATAGCTGGTTTGGTTAAAGTTACTGAAATCAAAATCCCTTTTTCATTTTTATAGGACTCATTTGGGAGACAAATTAGCCTAGAAGCAACCCCAACCTCTAATCAGAAAAACAGTCTGTCCGTCCATCCAGCCAAACGACCGATGCCACCTCCCACTGAGGCCTCAGAAAGCACAGTTTGAGGCTCCAGTTCCAATGTGCGCACCCTTCGAAATCTGCACATGACACCTTCAAACACTACAGAGAAACAGGAGCTGCTTCTGAAAGTACAGAGATGCAGGATGTTCTCAGTCTCCAAACCTCCCTCATCTATAGAATGGGATCGAGACTGCCTTTTGATAAGGTTATAGTGAAAACTCAGGAGGGTAAGGAAAATAAAGCATATTGTAAACTCTTCAGGTGGCGCACATTCACCAATCGACTGAGTGCAGGCACGCTCCTGACACAGCTGAGGTTACAAACAAGCCCCAGGAACTCCTTGTGGTTCAGGGCCCGCCTCCAATCCTGTCCCCGGAGCCACACTGTGCGGCCGGCCAGCAACACCACCAAGTGGGCTGCTGGCTACCCAAATGGGAACGGGAGGCAGGCGGGGGCGGCTCCCTCTCCCAGGGCTTTCAAGTCAGACGGGGCCTGGCAGGGAATGTGGCACCAAGGTATGTTGTGCATGGCTGTTTAGGTGACAGAAATAAGAGCACGTCTGTCTGATTTTCAAAACAGAAAAAAATGCAAGGGCAGGAGGTATGAGGGAGGTCGCTGCTGCCGTAAGGAAATGTCACACGTCACACACTGACAGCAGGTGGGTGGTTCCGGACACTGGAGCAGTCGCAGTCATACCTGGGAGCTAAGAAAGGATGCTTGGAAGTAGGCGCGGGGCAGGTGTGGCATGTTATGTGGGCTGAGCACACGCAAACAGGGGGGCGGACTCGCTGCGTTCAAGATGCACTGCTCTTACCTCATCTCCTTCCTCTCCTTTTTCCACTCCCGCAACACCAGCTGGGACTCCGCATCTCTGTGAACCTGCAGGACACAGCTAATTACCGAGAATGTTCTGGATACACATAAATGCATTAGGTAATGAGAATTTTTTGACAATTTTTAAAATTTTTTTCCTGGAGAAATTTTATTCACGTCTAAGAGATGGGCACTTGGATGAAAGATGCATTTTCACATTTCCCAGTTGCAACCCTCCCTTCTTTACCCAAATAGTTTTGAAATATCCAACAAGAGAAATATGGTTTAACAAATTAAATGGAATATTATGAAGGTATTAAACAAGGCCAACATTAAACTAGTGATAGTATTGTTAAAGCCTACGTGTATACATAAGGCATATGTATCCACATAAAATACATGAGGTCTGTCCATAAAGTATCCAACCATGTACTGTGGGAAAAGAGAGGCACTCATTGAGGAAGATGTAAGAAACATTGTACACAGGACAATGATGCCTCAGCCCCCTTCAAAGTAGCCACCTGGCACCTCACACAGTTCTCCCAGCATCTCTTCCACTGTTCAAAACACTCTGCGAAATCCTTTGCTGGAATTGCCATCAGCTGCCTCCTTGTATTTTCCTGAATCTCATCAACGGTCTGAAATCTCTTCCCTTTCAAAGGTGATTTTAGTTTGGGGAAAAGCCAGAAGTCGCAGGGCACCAAGTCTGGGCTGTAGGGGGGCTAAGACACCTGAGTGATTTGATGTTTCGCCAAAAAACTCTGCGTGAGACTTGATACATGAACCAGCACATTGTTGTGATGAAGCTGCCAATGACCAGTTGCCCATAGGTGCACTCACTGCATTGTCCCCAGAAGCCTTCTCAATCACTGGAATAGTTTCCACAGAAGAATGTTCGAGCTTAACACAAAATCTCATGCAGATTCATTGCTCTAGTCGCTCATCCTGAAGGCCACAGCCACACAGTGCACATGCTCACTCAGCAGCATCTACCCCGCCACTGACTAGTGAAGCCATCGCGGCTCACGCATGCCCATTCCAGTCCACTCCCCTTGGATATCAGGTTACACTGATGCCATGCAAACTGTTCTCATTATATTAACAATGGCCGGACTTTTTCTGGATAGACCTCAGTATGTATCCTTTAGACACATGTATTACCTATATAAACATATACTTAATACAGAGTACCTATTACATGTATTATATATATGCATCAACATAAAAATGGCAGTTAAGTAGAAATAACAGGTTTGGAAGCACGTAAAAATATGTGCAGATATTAAGAAATTAAAAATAAATTTTTCTTAACTTATGCAAGGATGGTAGAACTATAATTTATTTTAAACTGTCTCCCTTAATATTATATTATCTTTTAACATATTTAAGGGAAAAAAAATGTTTTTTGTAAAAGGCAAAGAAAAAGAAAAAAAGGTAGAGCACCTCGATCAGGTGGAAAAGCAGAGAATTCTCGAGCTGAGCTAAAATATGAGCAAAAGGCAACAAAAAAACGGCAACTGCCCCCAACCTAACAATGGAGCCTCACCCGTCTCTCCGCAAAGCTCCTGTGGCCGCACAGAAATAAACACGCAGCCAGAGTCCGAGGCACATGTGATCACAGGGGACAGGTGGCTCCCGGCAATTCACGGTCACAGGGCAGCCTTAGGACTCAGAGGAAAAGAGCAAACAAGCAAACCATCTGCTTCTGACGTGGAAGCCAAGGCCCTTCTGTTTACCACGTCTGCCCAGCTCGCCAGCTCAGGGCCTCTGCCACTCCGACAAAACCCTGGGCTTGCAAGTGAGGTCTCTTGCCCAACACCCTTGCCTGCGCCGCCAGGGCAACTACACTGATGCCCACGAGCTGTGTGCCGGTGGAGCACCAGCAGACTGGCCTGGCACTTGCAGCGACGCTGATGGTTTTATGAGCCTAGTTTTAATTAGCTTTGACATTTTATTCAAAAAATTACTCATGACAGAATTTACACTCGACAAAGGATGTGACAAGATCAAAAATCTGTAGTGTCACAAATGATATATTTTTACATATATGTATATGCACATGCATATGTATATACACACATACATATATACATGTTCACATACATATACATATATATACACATACATATACATATATATATAGGGTCTGCACAAAATAACACCCCTTTATTATGAGCTGGTAATCTATACTAAATCTTTTATTACAAAATCACAAGCATGTAATTCTGTAACATAACAGTATCACACTCAAGCACACCATATGACATTTTAGGTGAAATATTCAAATTTCTGTCCATCTTGTGCAAGACATTCGCGTACCCTACCAACCACATTCAGTGGCGTTACTTCTACCAGACCCTATATATGTCTGTGTGTGTGTGTGTGTGTACATACAGCACCTACTATGTGCTGAGCATTGCACACTAGATGCTGAAGATACGAGAGAGGACAGGATGGAGGCCTTTGTGGGGGTGTACCCGGGCAAGCAGACCACAACAAAAGCAATGTGATACCACATAGAATGGGGTGTCAGGCTGTGGGACGGAATCCCCCGCCCCCCTCTGCCAACACCCTTTTACGCCCAAGCACTAGGCACTTGTGCCCAGTATGAGGGATCGGCTTCTAGTCCCTTGCCCACCCCGGCCATGGCAGGACAGAATTCTCTAACTGGTGACCAAAATACAGATTACCAAAGTTACTTGCTTATTCGCCTTTTTGAAACTAGTTGCCACAGGCCACGCACATGCTCCCCTCCCCCCACCCCTCAGGTGGACCCCCTAACCCAAGGGGGGCTCTACAGACATGAAGGGCCAACATGAGTCTCCAAGTTCAAGGCACATTCCCCAGGCCAGCTTCTCTAGAATGGAGGGCGGCCCAGGGTGTCGGACCATCTCCAGCAGAGCCCAAGGCTGCTGAAGGGGTCTGCAGAGGAGGGGCCCCAAAGATCTGAGGCTCCCGGGGAGCCTTCTCAGAGGAGGGTCATCTGAGCTCTGCATGCGCCTTAACCCAGCCCACCCTCAGGTCCTTTATCTGTAAAAAGGGGACGATGTCAGTCCCTAGGTCAAAGAGCTGCTGTGAGAAGGAAACAGACAGGAAGCCCTAAGGGGCCATCAAAGGCCCACCCTGCACCTGGCCACGGCTCCCTCCCGCCAGCCCATCCGCCGCCCCCAAGAACTTTTCTCCATCCCTTATCTCTCCCATACGATCAACTTCCTCACCTGGATCCGTCCCATCAGCACTCAAACAGGCTAAAGTCTCTCCCATTAAAAAAACAATGTTCTCTTCAGCCATCCCCTTTCTCCAGCTCTGTTCCCCGTACCAGGCCAAACTTCAGAAAACAACAGTCTCACGTGTCTAAAATCTACTGTAAAACATGTCAAAGACTTGTCTTTTAATCAGTTATAATTAATCTCAAAGTGAAACCACACATTCCAGGGTGGGTGGTCAGCCTCGGAAAAGACCAACCAGAAGCCACACCAGAGGCTGATCCATCACAGACACTTCAGCCATCTTTAGCTCCAATCATTAATTAGCATGCTCCACTCTCCTTGAGCAAAACATAGATTGGCTTCCTGTGCGGCAGCTGCCCTCCCACCCCTGTGTGAGCAGGCATTACAATCTAACCAGCCGCCCAACAGTCTATATCAAGGAGGCCACATCCAGCCTGAGGCTGCCTTGTCCTACAAGCACAGAGTTGACTGAGTAGTTGTGATGAGACTAGCCGGCTGCAATACCTGACGTGTGGACTCTCTGGCCCAGAAGTCTGCCAACCCCTCAGCAACATGAGGCTCTGACGTGGGTACCCAGGACGGAGTGGACTTCCAGGCTATTTAACTAAGTTATCTTTATTCTTTATAACTGCTTTCTTAAAACCAGCAATTATATACTTGTATTGAATTCATCAGACTTCGCTCTAAATGACAGGCTCCAAAAACTATCCAACCCTGCCTGAGGGGATAAACTTTTCTCCTCAGAAAATAGTCTAAATAACATGCTATGTGCTCTGAAAACAACCCCATGGGGAGTTCTAAAAACATTTGACACGGGATCACTGGAAAATTGTATGGCTTTTCCATGGAAGGTGAGCAATGATACACATTAGATTTTTTTTAAGAATCCTCTTTATCCTAGTGACAGCAACCGGACAGAATGCTGCGAACAGTGTGAAACCTGAGGGGCACAGCACGGAGGCGAAGGCTCTCGGGCCCCAGTGCCTCCCCGTCCCTGAGCGAGTCCCTATCTCCTCTGGGCCTCAGGTCCTTTATCTGTAAAATGGGACGATGTCAGTCCCTACGTCAAAGAGCTGCTGTGAGAAGGACACAGACAGGAAGCCCTAAGTGTCTGGAACACAGTACATTCTCATTGCTAAATGGCTTGCTTCTGCCTCAGTTTCCTCTCCTGTAAAATAGATCAGCCACATAAATGGTAATTTCCTCTCCTTCCGTGTCTGACCTTACACCTTTTATAATTAACTCTATACAATCACAGAAGTATTGTCAGCACTTCCATTCCCTAAACACACACCCCTTAATCATCAAATTTCTTATACAGGTCAGAGAGAGGAAAACAAAGAAACTGTCCTCAAAGCTCAAATGTAGTGACACCATTTACGTGCAGGTTGTGTCTGTTGTATACCTGGCCAGATGCCAGCATCACAGAGCGACGGCACCCAGGTGAGGCATCCTTGGCCACGCCTGAGACCTCTGCACCACACAGCTGGGACGCACCAACACAGGACCCAAAAGCATGGACCTGGGTTTAAGTCCTTCCTTTGTCATCTTATGCCCTCAGAAATGTCACCCAACCTCTCAAACACCCAGTTTCCTTATTCTACAGTGGAAACACTGTACCTGCCCACACAGAACAGCTAGGGCCATTAAATGACTAATGCGTGCAGGGCAGCACGCAGCACAATGTCTAACACACCAAGAGTAACTAATTACTGTAGGACCTGTGCACAGACTCAAGGCTACATTAACCCAGAATCAATGCCTTTTATTTTTAGAAAATCATCTCACAGAAAGCATGGTGAGGAAATAGAACGAGTCCTAGTCAGAGAAGAGCCAAGAACCAATGGAACTGGAGCACATGGAGGCACGACCGGGGGACGCGTGGGCCCCGTGCTCTGCAATGTGAGCGCCCCGGAGTGAGGACCTGGCCTGCCACCCCTCGCAGCTGTGCCCGAGCTCGCTGCCAGCCGCCTCCACGCGGGCTGCCAGCTGGGCCAGGTGAGGCAGTTCCCTGGCCATGCCCAAAGTGAGCTGGCAGGCCATGGGCAGAAGCTGCGTTAGCCAGGAGAGTGGGCATCCACGTCTCTTATCCTGAAAGAGTCAGCACGCACGCCGAGATGGCTGCAGGCCCGGCCAGCTGAACCAAGCGAGAAAGCAAGGTGCCTCATGAGATTGGAAAGGGGGTCACAGCTGCCACAGAGGGCTGTCTTCACGGCCTGGGAAACTGGTCACGTGACTTACAGGAAGAAAACACCGCCACTGCTCTCCAGTGAGCCAGCTCCTTGTAGGTGTTATCTTCAAAATCAAATGGGAGACCGCACACAGAGACCTTGACTCTTGCTTTGAGCCTTTCCGGTAAGCCGTGAAGTGTTCCTTCCAAGGGACGCTTCATTTCACAGAAGCGGAAACTGGGGCCCAGAACTGAGAAGACCACTGCAGGCTAGAGTCAGAACCAGAACTAGACCCCAGCGGTGGCAGGTTCTCGGATCCCAGTGCCTCGCAGGACATCTCCCAGGGGGGCTGTAGTGGGAAAGTGAGGACGCTGGACCCGCCAGGCAGAGGAGCGTAAAGCAACACCTGCACTGACTCGGGCCCCACAAAGCCCTTTCTCCAGGTGGCTTGGCGGGTATTTTTAAAGGGCTCTTCACGGAAATCGGCAAAACTCTTACGGGCAAAATAATCCCAGTAGCTATTCTGCAGGGTGACTAATGCCTCCTACTTTATAGCCAAGATTAAATAGAAAATATCTAAAGTAACTGACTAGTGGACTAACTTCAGGTTTAAATGAAAAGTAGGAGTGAAAACAATCCCAAACCTGCATTTGCTCCAGTAGCCCGGTCAGGGTCTGCAGCCAGGTCATGGTCTGGATGTACTGCTCCGTGTTCATGATTCTGAGCTCCGATCGTAACTCGGGGATGATGGCACCCGTTCGCCAGCCATGCTTCAGGGTCAGATCCTGATCGCAAAGATCACAGAAAGTCAACATCAATCTCAACAGAATTTAAGCCATTTCACTACCTTTCCCCGACACGATGGGCATTCATTGAATTATTTTTAATTGTAACGGTTAGTTATTAACCCAGCCGAATTCAATGAATTACATTTAATTAAAACCAAGTTAGCCCAAGGCTCTGATCATGTCACCCCAGGGAAAATTCTGTTCTGAAAATAACTGTTATGAGTCACAGCCCTTGCAGAAACACAGGGTCTGGAATCATTAACCATGGCCTGTAAAACATCAGTTAGGTCACAGGCAGAAAGAGGCTGGACCGAAATGCTGCTGAAGGTCTTCATTCGATTCATCTGCAGATGGCTGGGGAGCTCCACCTGTGCGCAAGGCCTGCTGGGTTTCGGGGAACCACAGAATATCAGAGTTGGAGGGATCATACAACGGAAGCACACAGGACCCCATTTTTCATTCAAATATCATAACCCCATGATTTGACAACAGGCCAAGACTATCTATGTCAATTATGTCCTGGAAAAGCTAAGAGATACAATCACTGTCCTATACAAGGTAATTCTTTCTCCTTTGGCAAATATTTATCAAGTACCATCTGCCAGGCCCTGTTCTAGATACTCAAGATAAAACAATGAACAAAAACTGCCACACCCCTTGCCCTCGAGCAAGTAGATACACAATGTCTAGGGGTCTTAAAAAATTTAAAAATATTGAAATCATACAAGGTATCTTTTCTGCTCATAAGAAATGAAACTAGAATTCAACAGAAGAAAAAACTGGAAAATTCACAAATATGAGGACATTAAACAACACACTTTTAACCAATGGGTCAAAGAAGAGATCACAAGGGAAGTTAGAAAATACCTCGAGATGAATCAAAATGCACATGCAACACCCCCACACTCCCAGGATGCCGCAGCCTCGGTGCTGACAGGGAGATCTGCAGCCAGAAACACCGACATTGAAAGTGAAAGGTCTCAGATCAACCTAACTTTATACCTTAAGGAACTAGAAGAACTAAACTGAAAGCTAGCAAAGAAAAAAAATAAAGATCAGATGAGAGAAAACTAGAGAATAGAAAGAAAAATCAACAAAACCAAGAGCTGGTTCTTCAAAGAGATCAACAAAATTGACAAACCTTTAACTTGATTAAGAGAAAAAGAGAGGAAGCTCAATTTCATAAAATCAGAAATGTTAAGTGGGGCCATTACTACCGATTCTACAGAAAAAAAAATGGTTGAAAAGAGAAGTCTATGTACCACAACATTTAGATAACCTAGATAAACAGGACAAATTCCTAGAAACACACAACCTGCCAAGACTGGATCATGAAGAAACACAAGGTCTGAGTACACCTCTACTAGTCAGGAGGCTGAATTAACGATCAAAAAACTTTCTGCCACAGAAAGCCGAGAACTGGCTGTCTTCGCTGGTGAATTTGACCAAGCCTTTAAAGATACGTTAATATCAATCCCCTCCAACTCCTCCAAAAACGGAAGAGGAAGGAAAGCTTCCTAACTCATTCTGAGGCCGGCATTACCCTGATACCAAAGTTTAGCGTGAGAAGCCAGTTAAGCACAGGTGGCCGGGCCCCACCCCCAGAGGTGCTGGCTCAGTAGATCCGGGGTGAGGCCTGAGAATCTGCATATCTAACACGGTCCCAGGTGATACTGATGCCGCGGGATCACACTTGAAGAACAACTGCTTTGTCAGTACCTCTCAAAATGTTAAGACCTGTGTGTGTGTGTACACACACCCACATGACTTAAGGGCAGCACAAAGCATCTCATCGGGGCCCGAAGATCCCACTTAGCAAGAGGCAAACACCCACGATGCCACGTCACTGGGCTTGACATTTTTGGAGTGCCGACATCCCATTAGTAGCACTTCCTATTTCTACTTTACTAAGCACTTTCAAATGCGTTATCTTATTTCACTCTTTTTACAAATGAGGACATCAGTGTTCAAGGTCATCCAGCTAATAATCAGCAGAGCTGGGGTGGAAATCCTCAGTCTTCTAATTCTGAGCCCATGGGAGCACTAGACCTCAACCCGCTGGACAGGTGTGGTTACACAGGTGTGTGCAGGGGTCACCTGGGAAAAGTGTCACTACCCACGGGTGCTGGAATCGACCCCTCTACCTCCAAGTAGATATTGTTCCAATTATAGGTTCATCACACAATTCAAGTCCTGCGACGCTCCTCTGGTTGTTTCAAGGGGCAAGAGAAGCCTTATTTTCACATAATGGCTGTTTCCTAGGAAGGCCAGTTTTGAACTCCTTTGAAGCAACAAACTGGCAACAAGCCCTGGCTGATGTACCTGAGCTTTTATGTTGCAGTTGTGTGTTTCTGACACAGTAATAAAAGGAAAAGGAAAGAACACTGGCATTTATTTCTTACCATTATTTAAATGCAAAGATTTTTCTGATAAACTAAGTCAATTGCTAACCTCCATCATTTCCCCCCAAATTTATCTTTTTCATGACTGATTCATCCCATTCTGCAAAATAGGAGACATTAAAAAAAAAAAAAACGTGACCTGCTACTCATTTTTATGAAAGCCTAAAAACGGTCTTAACCAGAGGAGAAATTCCTTAATAAATGGCACTAACACGCCTGTCCCCCAACGAAGAACTAGGACAAGAGGCTCCCCCTCACCGCCAGGTCACTGTATATGTGGTCACCGAAATACAGCACTCTGGATCCTCTCCATCCGGTGAGCTTCAAAAACTCATACAAATTGCCCTGCAATAAGGAAAATATAGATATAATATATGTGACAGGTAGAGACCTGGGTATAACCCATGGCCCAAAATACCTATTCTTTTTTAAACTTCAAAAAAATTGTTTCACCTTTATAATTTATTTTCAATATCCAAATATAAAGATAAAAGCACATTAGCATGTAATCTTTCAGGACTTTCTCGTACATCAAATGTACTTTTCAAACAGAGAGATCGTATCGTATGTACACCTCTTGACAATGATCTGTTTACACTTAACATGCTGTGACCATCTTTTCAGGTCAAATATTAACCTGCCATGTAATTTCTGTTCCCAATAAGTATACTGTGATTCATTTAACCAATTCCCTGATGCTGGGCATGTATTTTGTTCTCATTTACTTTGTTATCTATTTTTTAAGTACCTTCATTCTTATAGCAGGGTTTCATCTACATCTTAATCATTTTCTTAGACTAACTTCCTAGAAGTGGACTGGCTGTATCAAAACTAATTTTTCAAGGCCTAGAAAATATGCTTAATGCCAAATCTAGCAGGTTGTTATAAACCTACCAGGAATGTATTGTGTAAAAAAAAACACCTTACTTCAGTTACACACTAAGAGTCAGCAATTCAATCATTTATCCAAACAAACATTTGCAAGCCTTGTGTAATACCAAAACATATTAAACTAGATAAAACATAGCTAGTCAGGAAATAATTACTAATTTGGGCAAGTAATATGCCATGTGATTAAATGCTCTTTAAGAAGAAACTTCTAAGTTTTGCTACCAGTATCTTAAATGTTATATATTAAATGTTATATACTATGAAAAGTAATGCTTTATATTTTGTTTTAAGAAACTGTTCGATCTAAGTTCATTTAGATATTGACTTAAGCTTAAATTTTGCCACTGAGTCATAAACAGTCCACCAGAGGACAGCGCTCGGAGCCGCCCCTGGCACGGAGCAAGCCTCCATGAACATCAGCTGCCGTCCTTATTGCTGACCACACAAAGCAAAGTAACAAAAAGGAAAAACTGGTCATGAGGTACCTGCTTGTAAATCTGGCCTTTCTGCAACTTGTGGATTCTATCCCAGAGTAAGACACCTTTCTCAGTCACCTTTCGGAAAGGTCTAAGAACAGAAACAGGAAACGTCACGCCCCGCGGTGGCCGAGTGGGCCCTCTTGCTGCATGAAACACTGCACGGTTACTCACTGGGAGTACAAAGGAGCTGCACAAAACTGAGAGAGCCCGAAACCAGCTCCAACACAGGCCCTGGCCCTGCACCACGGCTCCCAAACGGTGGGCCCAGTGTCCAAGGACGTGTCATGGAAAAAGAACCTCAGGGTCAAATACCTTCGGAAAACACTATGCCCTACATATGTCCTTTTTTTAAAGTTACCGATGGCTGTGATAAAGCCCTCTTATAAAGAAACCATCTATAACCTACATTTGCCAAGTTTATTTGCCTGTACAGAGATTTGGTTTTCTGCAAAAACAAACTCTGTTACACACACACACACGCCCCTTAAGAAAATACTGCCTTTGCCTTAGTATATATATCCAGCTTTGCACTTGAAATTCAGGCACTCTAGATACAAAGCCAATCAGAGGACAGGTGTACTATTTTATGCTGGAAAACTGTAAGTAACAGGCCTCATTCCTCACCCTGGAGGTGCTAGTCCAAAGGACAAGGAGTTTGTTTGCCTTTAGTTTTTCAAGGTGATACTCTTTTTTTTTTCTGATTAGAAAAATAAAACTCACTGCAAAAACAAAAAACTGGAAATGCAAGAAAAATACAATGGAGAGAAGGAAAACCACTCATAATTCTGGTACCTAGGTATGAGTACATTTCAGTAGATGTCTTTGGTCTTTTTACATCTGTGCCTTTCTCCTTTCTAATGAACATATAATGAGAATCATTAGTGTACACTGGTCATATCTTTTTTTTTCCTCTAAGGTTGTGAGAAATTTCCCATGTGATTACATATTCTTCATACATCATTTTTTTTCCATCATAAGGCAGCTCACCACTTTTTTTTTCCCCAAATACATCATTTTTATGGCTGCATAATATCCCCTCCTGGATATTGCTGACCTTCCATCATTATAAAATAACACAAAGATGAATATAGGTGGAGGATTATTCAGCTCTTGTTCCAGGCACCCAGAACAAAGGCAAACTTAAATGGGTGCAGTGAGGGAGAGCGCTGTTCTGGGACCCCCCAAACCACCACCCACTCCACACACACAACCACCCCCACACACAACCACCATCCCGCACGACCCCCACCCCCAACCATTTCCACGCATGTGAAGCGTCTGCTATGTACTCATCGCACCCTCCTTACAATTACTTGCTAGAAGAGCTAAAAATCAAAAGCTTTAAAGTCAGATGCTTGTGATTTCCAACTGAATTTCACCGAGACATGCTGCATCTTGAGTATCCACAGCAGCAAATGAATAACATCTAGGCCCCTAGAGAGGCAGGTACTCACCTCCGCTTATCATTAAAGAAGTTTGGCTTCTCCGCCTGCACAATGACCACATCAAACAGGTCCCTCCAGTCCTTTCCGACGATGTACCGCATCCCTTTGTCCCTAAACAACACGTCAGCACCTCGTTAGTCTCACACTGAAGGGATTAACTGTTTTTGCAACTTCTTCTTGCAAATTTCCAACTGGGAAATGCAATACAAGCAGTGAGCCAGGGCGAGCCGGGAATCACAGAACAACTTACACAAAGCTACTGGGGCTATTGGTGATGAGAAACATCTTCTTGCCATGATCAGCCAGTTTGGCCAGCACTGCGCGGGTCTGCTCGGCATAGCAGATGTACTTTTCTGAGAGCAAACGAAAAGTTCACACACAGATTCAGTGTGAGGTCACCCAATCTGCAAGGGCACTGAACGGGGCCTGCGGGCCCAGCGCTGCCCGGGGCATGTGGGGGAAGAGAAAGATGTCTTCAGGAAGCCTTGGTCAGGGTGGGCTATCCATGTCTGACTCATCAGTAGCCTAGACCCCACCTCCTCTGTCTACAGGGGGGAAAAACTAAGGGGCTGCAGCTGCCAGCACCGCTCCTTCTGAGTCAGGATTACGTCAAGTTCTAAGGTAAAGGGGAGGAAGACAGCTGAGACTCAAGGATGCAGGGTCCTTGCACTGCACTCAGAAAAGTGCGACAGAGCCTGCTCAGCGCCGCAATGAAGGTAAAATGCCTGCACGGTCCCATGGCCATGGGCAAGCCTAACGCAGTCTTCGTGGTAATGCTGAGTACGTACCAATATCTGCTTCGATGGCTCGGTACATGATTCCTTTGATGTGCACGTCGCGAATTGCATCCTGTCAAGAGACATGTTTTTAATCAGTGAACGTCATTAGCCTGAGTAACTAACTGTACACGTGAAACGGAATTCAAGAAAACAACTGTCATGAGGAGCCTGGCAATCTAAGCACTAACTGAAATCTAAATTCTGGCCCATGTATCATAGGGGGCCCCTGTGGGGAAAACTGGAGTGGCAGTGGCAGTTTTCAATGCAGTCTGTAAAAGGGTCACTGGAAGGAGGTAACTTGTGAGGATAATTCTGAAAAAAGCCCCACATGAGAAACCTTCACTTATATGTAGTATCGTGAACAAATGAGTCCAGGTCACCTGAGCAAAGGGCCTTATTGTGCTTTTTGTCTTTGCGCCCTTCCCTAGATCCCAACGGCAGGTTCAGTCACCTAGAAAAAGAGGCAGAGACCGATGACAGGAGGGATGCCCCTCCTTTAAGGCCACCAGTGACCAGCGAGTGCTGTCAGCGGGAGGGCAACTGAGGCAGAGCCGGGGTCCAGCCTGCGGACACGAGGAGGGGGATGCAGCTGGACCGTGACAGGCTCAGGGGTGTGGCAGCCTCACGCCTGGCAGGTGTCAGAGTACAGCCCCGCTCTCAGGTGACAGTGAGCAGATCCTCTACAGAGGTGGCACCCTTGGAGGCACCTGTGGCAGGGGACCGGGGTGCAGAGAAACTGGGCCAGAAGCCTTAGAAAATTAGTAGGCAATTTCTGTCCAGTGCGCACCCTGAGCTGTAAACTCAACCCCGATCCCCTTCCAGCACAGGCTTGTTTCAACGTGACACCGGCGGAAGGCGGTGGTGAAGGGCAAGGTGGGGCCACACCTCCAGGCCGGAAATCTAGGCTGGGATATTAACTAGCTGTTTACCTGTGGTGTGGGCAAGTTCCACAGCCTCTCTGTGCCCCAATTTATCTGTAAAATGAGGGTGATAATAATAGTATCTACCTCAAGGTATTATTGTGAGGATTAAACTGGTTAATATGCATGAAGCACAGAGAAAAATAATGTCTGAAACACAGGAAAACTCTGCCGACGTGTTCCCTATTGGTGGTCATAATACAAACAGTAAAAACTGAACTTTTAAATAAACAACCCTCCTCATAAGTGCAAATGGTTGCATAACTACAAGTGATTCTTAAAGTTTCTTAAAAATGAAGTATCTGTGTGCACAAAAAGGAGACTTGAAACTAAATATTTAAATTCAGTTCACATGACACCAGACTGATACCGAGAAGCTATAATTCATCTTTTATCTGTCTAAAACCCATGATTCAAAGCAGTGATAATTTAAAATCATCAAAACATATAATTAAAACATTGTAGTATATGAATATTGAACTTTTAATAATTCATATATTTAAATGAATATGTATTATATATTTTATACAAACATTTTTATAACATGCTTAGAAATATACACATTAAATAAATAATACATAAACATTTTTAAGTACTGAAAAAAGTTCAGCTTAAAGAGTATATAAATACATGAATGTGAATTAAAATATACAAAGTTATATAAATAAGGTGTGTATACAGGCATATAAATATTTATATTCCCCTGTCTCCCCCTCGAAGTGGATTTTCGCCCACAGCTGCTGCAGAGCCTCGGAAAGCCTACATGACCCTTGTGTGCAGGAGAAGGTGGGCCTCCCGTGGGCAACCACAGGCCCTGCGCCACCCCCGGGGACAGGAATGCCATGTCTCTGTGTAGAGTCTCCCCGGCCGGTGGCCAGGCTTGGGATGAGCCGGTTACAGGACAGACCACAGTCACCACTTGCCCCTCTGGCTGGGTGCCCTGGCCCCAGCCTTAGGTCAGAAAGAATTAGAAATCCAGGTAACAATATGAGCACCCTCTTCTTTTAACAACAAATGTGACTGACTTCCAATTCTCCTAATGTAACATCTGACAGTTTCCAGGGACAAACCATTAACACAAGAGCTACCAGGCAAGAGGCTATTTCAAACACCTAACATACAAAGGAGCCTAAAAATTCTGTTCCTTCGACAGAAAAGCAACAGGGATGCGAAACCGCAAGCCCCTACTGTCGGCACAACCTTGACGTCTTTGTACAGGTGGACAGGCTCATAGTCGATGTTGTTCTTCAGGAAGTATTCGTTCACGCAGGACAGCAGGGTCATCTCCGGCAGCGAGAAGATGTCCATGAACTGCTTCATGGTGTTCCCATGGGAACTCTGTGGGGGGAGCACACTTTAGAAACGGGGGCCGACACCCCAGCAGAGCCAGATGTGACCTTTGCTGAGGGGAATTCTGGTCAACATCTGCATCCCTCTCCCTGAGAAAAAGAAAATTCTAACAATGAAAAGTAAAAATGTTCACCTTGTTCTTGTCGCTTACAGCAGAGCTGACGTCTCGGTCTAAATGTAAATGGCACATCCAAGGAAATGCCCTGATTTCCCCTCAAAAGTCTAACCAGCCTCCCTTTCTACTTCATTCAACTCCCAGCTCACAGTCTCTCACAGGACTTGGAGGAGAACTGGGAAATAGGTTGCTGCCGTTGGAAAGGCAGAAAAAGCCACTTAACTCTACTGAGTTTGAGCACCTCACTAGCCTGTGTGACCTTGAAAAAGAACCTTTCTCTGAAAGCCTGCACATTATAATAGTCAACCAAAGTGTCATGGGTTCGATTCCCAGTCAGGGCACATGCCTGGGTTGCAGGCCAGGTCCCCAGTAGGGGGCGCACAAGAGGCAACCACACATTGATGTTTCCCTCTCTTTCTCTCTCCCCTTCTCTAAAAATACATAAATAAAATCTTTTTTTAAAAAAAAGACAATGCATCTAATAAGACAGGAAGCAAAAATAAGGTGAGCAAAGAGAACCACAAACATTAGAAAAGCAGAGGTTTCCCTTCAGGTTCAGGGTAACTTGCTGCCCTCAATCTCAGGGAAGGCAACAGCTGCCCCACTGACAGCCCCCAGTGACTTAATCCAGAAACTGGGGACACCTCGGGGAGGTGGGGGCAAACGGGGCAGGTACAAGGAAGGTGCACAGGGCCTTCGTCGGGTAGAGAAGAAAGGGCTAAGGAAGGAGAGCCAGGAGAGAACCTAGGGAGCCTGTGACATACTCCTCTCCCTCAGACCTTGGGTCTCTCAAAACACAATCCCAATTTCCTTGTCATTTCCCTATGGGCAGTCACAGACTCTAGGAATTCAAGCTCCTCCCTCTCCCAGGCCATGCTTCAAGAAGGAAAAACACAGGCTGTTTTAAATGAACAAAGCATTTCTCGTTACCTTTCCATAGAAGTCGCTCATCTGCTCCAAAGGCACGTGGGACCCCTCGTACATTTCAATGACTTCTTCGTCCGGGACAACACTGAGGCCTCTGGAAGAGCGACAGGCAGGGCAGTTTAACAGCCCAGCGAGCGAGAGCAATGACTGTTACACCTCTGGCAACAGCGGGGCTTTTCCAACCTAGGTGTAAGGCCCTGCCACAAGGAGGCAAGATGTGCCACCAGGAAATGCTACAAATGACGGGCAAAATGCTGCTACTATTACTACTGCTGTCATTCTAATGGTAATAAGAGCAGAAAAATAATAGTTACTACTGCATGGCACCTACTATATGCCAGATATGAATTCCACAGTCCTTCACCTAGTTCTCAGCAATGATAGGAAAGAGGCACTATTATCCCTCCCTTTTTCCAGCAGAGGGAACTGAGGCACAAAAAGGTCATGGACCTTCCCCAAGGTCACCCAAGTAGAAGGTGGTGGGTCGGCACCGGGTCCCAGGCTTTGCGGCTCTTCAATCCCTCTGTCACACTGCCGTCCCCAACAAGGCACGAGGCCTTCTAATGTCTCTAAGGGGTGGGATGTTGTTTTCTTTTTTTAGTGGCTTTAATACATTAGGATGAGAAAGGCCCGGTGCTGTCTCCAACATCCTCTGCCCTCCAGGACTCTACCCGAAGGTCGGTGCCGAGGGGAAAAAGTCATGTGCGAGGCCCAGGTGGACTAAACCCCGTGACACACGGCAGGAAACCTGGGTACCGCCTCTGCCAGGCGGGTGGGGGGGGGACCCAAATGCTTTGCGACAGTGAAGGCCAGTTTCCTCATCTGTAAAAGCCAAAGTAACACCCACCACCGGCCCACCTCTGGAGTGGCAGGAGAATCTGCGATGAATCCAGCTCCTCCACACACGGGAAAAAATAAACCCTGGAGGCCGAGTGGCTGGATTTCAGCCCTGCCTCCGCTGCCAGCGCCGAGAGCTGGTGCTTTCACCCCCGGCTCCACGGTCTCCTATTTCCTCACCTGGAGCTGCACGCTCTAGAGTGTGAAAGGGGGGAAGGTGTGCTCCTCTACCCGCTTCTCAGGCAGAGAACGTGCTTGAGAAACAGACCCTGCGAGGAGGGATCCCACAGAATGAAGCAGGGAAACAGCATGCTGTGCTCCAACAGGAGTGTAAACTATTCAGTAAGAGTTTCAGTTGCTAATACAAATAGGCTGCTTAAAATAAAAAATTCACTTGGCCGATATTAAAATACATACAAAAAATAATCTACATTGGATGTCACTTTAATGAAAACTTAATTTTAGCCTCTTTCCTCCATTCTCCACACTCATATTACTTCTAAAAATATCCGAGTAGATTCATTAATATTTTGCCTCCGATCTCAATTACCTTGTTACAACTACTAGCCTTTGAAAACAAAAGAGGCACTGTACTTCCGCTTATCTTTGTTCCAGAAATCAGATAAGACACTGGCACGAAACCAGATCATTCTGGACAGTGACCTTGGAAGACAGCTCTTGCTGAGGTAGCAGCAGTCAGCTGTACGCACCCCTAAGGTTTTAACACTTGGGAGGAAAACACAAAAAGTAAACGAATTCTGCTGGATGAGTTCCCTGCCTCCACGCTAGGCCCGACCCAGCCCTTTGGAAGCCACTGCTCTCTCTGCCCACGGTCACAGCCACCCGGCCACAGGAGCTGCACCCTGAAGGCCCAAGTAACCAAACATCAGCTCAAAAGGAGCTGAAAAATCAGTCCACAACAGTCAGCTGAATTCTGTGGGAGGCAGCGCCCGCGGATGGAGGGCCCACCACGCAGAAGGGCTGTGGCAGGCTCGGGAGGACTGCCACCACACTTGAACGCCACCTAAACGGGCACTGACAACTACTTTACACAGCCCTGTGTGGTTAAGAGAAATATTAAGGTTCGGAACAGAGGTCTCAGCGAGCCTGCCTGGGTTTCAAAGCCCGGCTCCCTTCATTAATATTCCTGAACAAGGATTTTAACTCTTTCCTTGGAATTTAAAAATGACAAGGATCTCACTGTCATTTTTAAACTGGGAACAATCATAATGCCTCTCTCCTAGTGTTATTGAGAAGACTAAGTGAGTTACTGTATACAAACTGTAATCATATATGATATGTATATAAGCGCTGGTGGGTCTGTGAGGGGAAGAAACAACCCTAGCTTTTCACGAAGGCTCCAGTTAAGAAGTGAAACTGTGGGCACAAAACGGGACTGCAGTGGAGAGCAGTGTGCCGCCTTCCCTGCCCAGCAACGCTCACCCCCACCGCCCACAACATAAAATTCAACCTGATGCAGAAACCGCAGGCTCCTGCGGCAGGTCTCAGGTCTCAGGTCTCAGAAACGAGTGAGGCTCAGGCAGAAGCTTTCTTCTCCGCCATTCCCTCATTCACTGCCTCTTTTGAGGAGAAAGGCAAAAGAAGTGGCATTTATTTGTGCCTATAGTTCTCTGGGCACTCGCTGCTCCAAGCATGCTTTAGTTTGCATGACAAGCTGCCCCTATGGAGGGTACTGGAACGGTGCCCATTTGACAGAGGAGCAAAACAAGGCTTTGTGACAGTCGAGAGCTTGTCAAGGCCACACGCGTCAGTGGTGGGGTCCAAGTGCCCGCTCAGGAAGCGTGACTCCTGAGCTCACACACACACCCCTGGTGGCTCAGCCACACCCCCTCTCAGCACTGAGGCCACAGCGACCTTGCCAGGACCTAACGCTGGACACCTCTTCCCTGATAAACACCTCATCTGGCTCCTCCTGCCTGGCCCTGCCCACACATCCTAACACACTGGGTCATCGACCTACAGGAGAAACAAGGCAATTACGAGCACAGGATCATGTGACCCCAGAGGAGCAAAGAAAAACACCATTTCCGGCTGAGGGGTGAGAGGCCTCACAAGTCGGCCCTGAAGGAGGGCTGGGATTTCAAGAAGCAGAGAGGAAGGAAACTATCCTGGCAGAAGGGCTGCCAGCGTGAACAGATGCCAAGCAGAGAGAAAACAGAACTCAGAGAAAAGGAACACACGTGTTATTTGTACCTGCCCAGCTTCCACTCCTTCTGAGACCGGATGAAACTATAGGGAAGAGAAACTCCCCTTCTCATCTCAACCTGGAAAGCCTGGTGATTCCACACGAAGGGGCCAGCCCAGGAGGCAGCCAGCCGCACCTGCACCGGCACTGGCCTTGGACTAGACAATCAGGGAGCCAATACTGTGTTTTCATTTAAGCCAACCCAAGTTGGGTTTCAGTCACTTGCAACTAAGAGTCATAACCAACCGAATGAGTGAAGGAGCTGCACATGCACAAAGAGGAAGCTAAGAGAGTGGAGCCATCCTGGGTTTTGGAAGAGAAGAGGGTGGCTGAGCAAAGTGCTTTAGGTAAATCAGCTGAGCAACAAAGCCTAGGATGGATTCCTCTGCAGAAAACTGTAAAAGCCCAGGAGAGAAGGACTATGAGTCTGAGCCAAGGAGCTTACTCTTACCTGTAGACAGTTCCCAGCTGGATGTAATGAAAAGCATCAATCTTCATCAATACAGCCTTCAAAAACATAAATACAGGCACACGTAAATAACGCACAACAATTTGCGTACTGAGTGAGAATTCCAGGTGTCATTATAAATCCTACCAACATTAAGTCATCACAAGGAAGCACTGGCAGATTCTGAAATTGTTGCTTGCTGATTAAAGCACCGTGCAACTCATTAAAGAAAGATATGATGCCCTGGCTGCTGTGGCTCAGTGGACTGAGCACCAGCCTGTGAACCAGGGGGTCGCCAGTTCAATTCCCAGTCAGGGCACATGCCCGGGTTGCAGGCTAGGTCCCCAGTAAGGGGCGTGCAAGAGACAACCACACATTGATGTTTCCCTCCCTTTTTTTCTCCCTCCCTTCCCCTCCATCTAAAAATAAATAAATACAGTATTGAAAGAGAGAAAGAGAGAGAGAGAGAGAGAGAGAAAGAAGGAAAGAAGGAAAGAAAGAAAGAAAGAAAGAAAGAAAGAAAGAAAGAAAGAAAGAAAGAAAGAAAGAAAGAAAGAAAGACAACTGGCTCATCCGCAAAACACCACAAGGGACTACTGGGAAAAAAAACGTTATCTCTGAAATTGCTAAATGCATTCATGCTTTTCTAATCACTGCCTCTTGAAAAAGATTTTTTATGCAAAGATGTTTTGAAGAATTTAGTTCTGTGGCCCCAAAGAACATGAATTTTAAATGATTTAGGTGTTGAGCAAAGCACCAAAAGTACATTTTATCCCCCAAAACCGTTAAACTAGAAAAACATGAGGATTAAACCTACCCGCTGCACATCATAATGAAGTCCACGAATTGCAAAATTTGGGTCGTATTCATACTTCCTGATTTCCGCAGGGTACTAAGAAAAAAGAAAGAAACGAGTTGTAGCTAACAAAGTGGGTACTAGGTTCAAGGTAGTGTCCAGATTTGCTCCTTGTACAAAGGCCAAGGTGGCCGATGCACTCTAGTGGGAAGGTGGGGTCAGAAGGGGCGGATCCTGCCATGTCCCTCCGCTTCTGGACAGAGGACTTCCCAGGCCCCGAGCCCTCCATCCAGCCCCCAGCACAGGTGGGGCCTCATCCCCCAACTTCCCTATCTCCCCTGCCCCCTCCCCTCCTTCCCTCTGCCCCCTAGACTCCCAGCTCCCTGAGACCCCAAACACATATCTGCTTCTTCCTTGCTTAATACATTGTCACCCGCCCCTTCAGCTCACATTTGAGCACCTCCATGTCGCAGCCCCTGGGTGAGCCCATTACCAGGTTCCATGAAGAGACCCTAGCTGAACTTTCCAAAGGGGCCCCTCCACCATGTAGCTTCCATTACGCTTCTCCTTTGGCCGGCAGGCCGCTGCTCACCCTCCAAGGGCTGGGGGGACCCAGGGCTGTCAGCACAGCGTCCCCCCACTCAGGCAGAGAGAGGCCCTTTCTTAGCACGTGGCTCCCAGTCACTGCTCCGACACTCTGGCCCAAGCATGCACGGCTTTTGGGGGCAGCTCAGCTCCCCTGCTATTTCCGGGTTATTGCACCATTCCTCAAACTATGCAAAAAGCCCAGCACCCTCTTCATCTACTGCACCAGGCGCCCGAGTCCTTCCCTCCTCCCCAAGGCTCTGAGTTGGAACACCAGCCACCCCGCTGACAGCCCCGGTGCACTGTGCACCACGGGCCCTGCCATTTCTGTGTCACCGATGGGACACCGGAGGCACCGGATCGACACCCTGGCCTGGGCTGCACGCGGGGGCGTGGCGGGTGAGGAGTCCTGCTCAGGCCTCCGCTCTCCCCATACCCTCCATCCTCAGAGCACGGACTGGCAGGACAGAACATCTACGCCCCAGTCGAGAGGGGCTGTGTCACCAGAATCCTCCAATCACAATGTAAGTTGCCCAAGTAAAAACCTAGGCACCTGCCTTCCAGCAACAAAAAGGCGACCACAGGGAACACCTCGGGCTACACTTCCTACAATGCTCTCGGGCAGGAATAGTCCAACCAGTGGCCCGCAGGCCGAATGCAGCCCAGGGGGGCTCTGAATGCGGCCCAACACAAAATCGTAAATTTACTTAAAACATCATGAGAAATTTCTGTGCTTGCGTGTCACAATGTATTTAATGTGTGGCCCAAGACAACTCTTCTTGTTCCAGTGTGGCCCAGAGACGCCGAAAGACTGGACATCCCTGCGGCAACCAAGACTGCGGGCGGGGGTGGGGGCAGCACAGGGGTGGGGAGTCGGGGTTTACTACTCTGAGTACCTGGATCGACATTCCCAGAATCCTGAAAGGGAAAATAACCCACAGACACATCTTTCTGCAGTCTAAACATCTCCCAAGCAGAGGCCTGGCAGACTGAGCGCCACTGGCAGGCCTGCCTGGCGCAGAAGTTTCTCCAACTACATGGAGCTTGTGAAAAATGACATAAACAGAGTCGTCTGAAATGGAGCTGGACCCACCGTCCCAGAGGAAACTACCCTGCATGTCTTGCTCCCTGAACCTTTAGAATGTTTGGCCTGGGCAGAATCACCTTTGGCCTGGGCCAAACCAACACTGTCTTCCAAACAAGTGTCAGCAAACAGGAAAGCAGACCTCCTGACCACAGTGACATAATTAAGGACATTCGTTAGAACCACTGCTATGTGTAGCTAAAGAAGAACAGTTTATTATCACCAATAGGATTTTCTTTCTTCTATTTGCGTAATTATTTCCCTTCCCTTTCTCACAAAGTCCCCTTGCTGTCATCACATGATAGAAACACTATTTGGGTTTCTGCCTCAATCAGTGCTTACCAGCATTGCAATCCTGTGATCTCACATAAATTCTCGTTGCCTCTCAAAAACAAAAACAAAAACAAACAAAAAAAAAAAACGTTGTCAACAATAGTCAAGATGCACAGGAAACCTCTTTGCAAGGGCTGCCCTGCTAACTTTTCATGGCCAAGGTCAGGCTGGCATGAGAAAATTTCCCAGTACCACCAGGCTAACCACAGACAGCAAGTTTTCAATTCAAGCTGCATGAAGCGCTGACTCAAATGTCACATTCAGGCTCATTTATCTAACACCTGCTATGCGAGCCAAGGAATCATTATATGTGATATTTCTACTCATGGGTGTTCCCAAGAATTCAGAACACTGTGCACAGTTCATACACAGCCTGACCTCAGAACCCAACACACATCCTCAGGACCCAACACCCACAACCCAGAACCCTTGACATTTCATGGCTCCTCCGAAGTGAGGCCATGGGATGCCACCCGCTGGTCTCCGTTTAACCCGGGAGTGACAAATAAGGGAAAGGAGAGGAGGAAGGTGTTTAACAGGTTCCAGCGAGAGGGGCTTCTACTGAGCCATGTGGCACACTGATCTAGACACCTTCTGCGACTTTCCTTACTCCCCCAGCATTAAGGGCACTTCATGTCCATTTTCCTCTTGAAGAGTCTGAGGGGTAGAGTCAAGGAACCTGCGCAGGCTCGCAGACATGAACAGACATCAGGCCGGTACTTGAACCCTGGTCCACCCCAACCACCCCACAATCAAGTCCGAACCAACCCCGAGCCACATACTGCATGCTCATTGCCTCTTGTGACAGCAGTACCTGCCGCCTCACATGGCACAGTGAGTCTGCTGAGAGGACTCGTGGTGACGCAGTGGAGGCTGGCTATTTCTGCTGAGACAGGTGTGAATGAGAGCGAGCGTATACTCGCTGAACGTGGACTGCTCAGAAGTCTGGCGGCGCCTTCCTGGAGCAAGGCTTATCTGGGCTTATCTGTCACTCTTGCCGCTTCTAGGGGAGCCACTCCTGACAGATACACAGTGATAGATACAAATGGTCCAGAGACCACAGCAGACAGAAGCAGCTGAAGGAGCCTTCACAGGACCACATCTGATAAAGAAAATAGGCCCCAGGGCTGAGGGATCAGGTGTCAAATTCTAGTCCTACCATGGGCTCGCTGGGTGACCCTGGGCAAGATCATCTGTCTCTCTGGGCTTCAATTTTTTCTCATTTCCAAGGTAGAAATAACAAGAGTCCTGCCCTACATGAAAGCAGAGAGGAGTAAGCCAAACGATGCCTGTTGGGGATCAGGACCGTCTCCCCAAGCATGTAGCAAGTGCTAAGGAAACCCAGCTGCTGCGCTGGACAGGGAATTGGGAGGCCTGGGCTCCCAGGCCCACTTCACTGGCCTCTGCTGCTCTCCTGGAGGACTTCAGAGGGTCACTTAACCTTTCCCACCTCCCTTTGTGTGGAAAATGAAATGCCGGAACTGAGTGATGCCTATATTCCACCTCTGCCCCTAAACTGTGATTCCCCTGCAAGGGGCCAAGTCCCAAAGGTCCCCACGACGGGCCCCATTCCAACACGCACACACATGCACGCACACGCAGCATCTCTAAGAATAACAATCACAGTAACATCTGGTCGAGGAAGCCAAAGCTGCTCCCATCAGCCAGGAGGCCACACTTCTCTCCAATGGCCTATGGCTAGATTTTCTGGATCCTTCCTAGTTTAGAAACTTTCCATCATCCTGAAAAGCATGACTCCCCTCACATGTCATGAAGATTACTGGTATCCCTAAAAGCAGGAAGAAATGCAATAGATAAAAGACTTTCACTCAGGACTTTTGTTTAAAACAAATCTTATTTAGGCCCAGGCTGGCGTCCTTCAGTATTTGGGTTTGTTCCCACTCCGGGTGCAATCTGGGCAGGCCGGTGTGTGTGGACAAAGAAAGATCAAGGTTCCCCTGGAAAATGCTACAGAAATGTCCCTGACAGATCCGAGGAAAGTTAAGACTAAAACACCATGGAGAAGCCCGAGTCCCCATGTGTGCCGTTCTCACAGATCTGTAGCTTGGCCATGTGCCCCTCGCTGGCAAATGACAGAGCTCTGGCCGCAGCCCGTGACCTCGACACCACAACCCTGCCCGTGAGTTCCAGAGGTCCAGATGCCTGTAAGTACATCCATCTTTCAGAGGATATTTAAAGGAACCTAAATTACGAGTCTAATCAGAGGCAGGGCAGCAGGGCATAAAGGCAAAGCTCTCTGAAATCCTTACAAAACAGGCAGTGAGGGCAAATGACCTGCATCAGAATGACAGTCACACACCAAGCACAATACATTCGCTTATCTGTGGAGTTCACCAAAGACATCATGTATTGACTGAGCACGTACTTTGTGGCAGGGCCTGGGAATGTAGCCCTGCACACGACGGACAGTCTCTGACCCCAAGAAGTTTCCATCCTACCTTGGAAGGCAGGCCATAAACAAGTAAAAAAACACATATGGTATCATGCCTGATGGTGAGAAATACTATAAAGAAAATGCAGTCTAAACGTTCAGAGATGTGGGGGAAAAAAAGAGAGAGAAGCCAGGGCTCAGGCAGCCAGGACGGACGTTCCAAAGCAGAAGAAATGGCACGTGCAAAGGCAGGCGCAGCAAGCAGACCGGTGTGGCTGGAGCAGAGAGAGGGAAGGTGGGAGGAGAGGCTGGCGAGGAAACTGGGGGACTGGGAGCTCTGGAGGCCTTCCCTCTGCCATTAAAATGTGGCAGGAAAGCTCAGTGGGGGGCAGGGCGGGTTTTTGGCCCCGGAGTGCCGTGATTAGTATTTAAAGGTTCACTCTTGCTGCCAAACGGAGAGCAGACTAAGGAGCACGGACAGAGAAGCCAGGAGGCGAGTCAGGAGGCCACTGCACCACCGGGCGCAGGTGAGGGTGGCTGGCAGCAGTGGGGCAGGTGAGAGGTGGGTGCAGTCGGGGTACGAGTTGAGTGAGTTTCCTCTGCATGCGTGAGAACAGAGCTCGCAGGTGCACGGCGAGAATCCTCCTGGAGAGAACGGCGTGGGAGAGGGGAAAAGGAAGCCGGACGGTGAGAGACAGCACGAACACCCCTGCCAGGCAAGGCCGACACCGCAGCTGAGCCATGCTGGTGGCATGCGCCCCGGACAAGAGGCGCCCACAACGGCGCTCCTCCTCTGCGGTCTTCCTTCCCCAAACCCAGAACCCCGGTCTAACGATAAGAAAAACATCAGACAAATCCCAAGAGAAAGACATCCCTACCTAGCACCCTTCCAAAGTGCCGGGGCTCCCAGAAACCAGGAAGGTCTGAGAGACCGTCAAAGCCAAGAGGGGCACACGAAGGACATGAGGTGAAAACTAAGGACGCCTGACTCGAGCCCAGACTTCAGTTAGTAACAATTTATGCATACGGGGTCTTTGGTTGTGATGCACGTGCCATGGCAACGTGGGCTGAGTGTGTGCCCTGCCGCTGACCAGCTCTGTCACCTCAGAAACTCAGCTGGGAAAAGTAACCTTACATTGAAAGGAATTCATTAATTCTGTTCCCTGATTACACAATTACATGGATCCACACATGTGATAAAATGTCACAGGCTTACACAGAACTACACAGACCCAGTATACCAGTGCAAATTTCCTGATTTTTTTTTTTTAACTATTATACTTTCTTTTTTTAAGATGTAACCAATGGGGAAAATGAAGTAGAAAGGATAGAGGACCACTCTGCACTACCTATGCAACTTTCTGTGGCTCTGTAACTACTTCAAAAGAAAAAGAAAAAACACGTTCACAGGTTAACATTAGGGGAAACCAGGTATAGGATATATAGACAGGAGCTCTCTGTATTACCTTTGCAACTTTTCTGTAAACCTAAACTCCTCTAAAATTAAAAGATTTAAAAAAGAGAGAGAGAGGACCTGAGGCTTTCGCTGACAGATTGGATGTGGGACAGAGGAGAATGTCAGGGGTCACAGCTCCTGTTAGGCTTTAGACTGAACACCCGGTGAGCATCGGCGTCAGTCAACGGTTGGGCCACTGAGAAGCGTGCGAGTTCAGGCCGTGAAATCAAGAACCCTTCTAACACTCCCTTTCTATGCCTCGGTGGACATCTGAGATGAAGGTACAGATACAGAAGTTATCTGGTATTTTTCATTTCTATTTTTGTAAAAACTTATTCTAGGAGGGAAGGAAGGGAAAGAGGGAGGAAGAAAGGGGGGGAAGGGTGGAGGGGGGGTAATTAAGAAGAAGCTGGAAGTTTTACATTTGCTCCTTGGGAAGATGCTAAATTGCCCACTTATTGTTCTATTACTGTGCATCTCAAAAGCAGATGTCTTTCCAGCTCTACCAGTACATGTAGTCTTTGGCAGGAAAAGCAGTGCCAAAGCCAATGCTTTCAACAGCATCTTAGAATTATTATTTTCAGATCCAAAGCAAGAGAAAAATGCACATAAGCACAACTGACTCTATTAATATGCATGATAAAATTAGTGTTATAACACATTTCTCTCATCCAAGCAACAAACATACATAATGGGAATGAAATTTCAACGATCTTAAATCTAGAAGCTTTTCTCATCATCATGATTGTAACCTCTTTTCCCCCAAATTTCACATTTTTAATCTTCATGAGCATTTGATTTTTGTAGGAACATAAACCCACAGGGGAGAAACGACAGGTGTCACGAATCCCCCAAGGGCGCCGTGGAATAAAGGAGAGAGCGCCTGAACGTGGGAGTGAGCAGACTTAGGCTCCAATCCTGGTTCTGCCTCCTGCGGACCTTGTGACCTTGTGACCTTGAACTACTGGCTTAACTCCACAAGCCTCAGTTCCCTCAACAGTAAAACAGAGACAAGATTTATTTGCAGGGTTGTCATGCAGACTGGGAATGACAAAGCCAGGATTTGAACCCCGGCAGCCAGGTTCTAGAACCTGTGCTTTTGGTACCTAGCAGACAAGCAACAGACGAAGCTATTAGTAAGGACTTTAGTTCTGTAAGGGATATCAGAGTCGCAGCACATGACCTGGGACTAGAACGCCAGCACCCATGCTACAGCCCTTTAGCCGGATCTCCCGGTGGGGCACTGGAGAGGTCGTGTAGGGTGACAAGCGCGAGAACATGGGCAGGACCCCCTAGCTCTTACTGTGCTTCCATCCTCACAGTCGAGGGAAAGGACCATGGGTTAGACAGAAGAGAGTCTCTTGAACAAAGGAAGAGATGTTGTGGCCAGATGGGCTGCCATCTGGTATGGTGGCCATAACTAAGAAAGACAGCTGATGGTTTAGTGGCAGGGGTCAAGTTACTTTTGGCAAATACCTTTTCTGCATTGTGGATGAGGACAAAATCAGTTGCTTATTAAATCCACTGATAACCAAAAGATGAAGGGAATATACTGCATCAAATGATGATGATCCCAAAACCAATGAGAACTTTGGCAGCACTAATAAAGGTATGGTCTCCAGAACCAGGGAGGTGATGGTCTCCCTCTATCCCACACTAGTCAGACCCCACCTGCAGTAACATCTCCAGTTTAAGCCCTTAGACCTGAAAGGAATAAACCAGAGCACACACAAAGGAGGGTGAGAAGATGCTAAAAAGAGCCCTGGCTGGGTAGCTCCGTTGGGTAGAGCAACATCCCGATACACCAAGGTTGCAGGTCCCATCCCTGGTCAAGGCACATACAAGAAGCAACCAATGAATGTGTAAATAAGTGGAACAACAAATCAATGTGTGTGTGTGTGTGTGTGTGTGTGTCTGTCTCTCTCTCTCTGTCTCTCTCTCTCTGAAATCAAGAAATAAAAAATTTTTTTAAAGGTGATAAAAAGAGGCCAAATGAGAAGGGTTAAAAGAAGTAAGAACGATCGGCATAAGAGAAGTCTCAGAGGGCACAGCGGCTGGTCTGTGCAACACCCAACCTGTTACTTAAACGGCCAAGTTTTAGGTTTCTAGACCTAAACTCACACCCACTCCCAGCCCACCTTTGCTGACCAACTCCTTCCAGACTTCACTGAAATATCACCTTCTTTGATGTTCTCCCAATTCCCTCAGGCAGAGAAAGTTGTCCCAAGCATCTGCCACACACCCCTCCTCTCCGGTCAGGTGTCTGCAGAGGCTCCACCAGGTGGCTTCGTAACTCATCTGCCTGTAGGACTGACTCCCTGACTGGACTGCTGGGTCTCCAAGGGCACAACCTGGGTCCTTCCCACCTCCATCCTCCCTGCTTCTGTCGCAGGGCTTGGCAGAGAAGGAACTCCTAGTACAGGTTTAAGGACTGTGTGTAGGGGTGAAGGACGAGATGAGATGCGTGGGGAAAGCGCTGTGAAGGCAGAAACTGTTCAACCCATGGAAGACTCTCTCCAATCAGAAGTGCCTCCCGGAGTACTACACTCGGGCCGAGAAGGAGGCTCCAGCAGCACTTCTCGGGGTGCTGCGGGGCCTCCCCCAGGGTGCGAGTCTGGACGAGGCCACGCACGCTGCGTGCTCTCTCTCTGCCCTCCACCCTTCTGTGTGGCCCAGGTGTGTGGTGTAATTTCTAAGTCTTTTAAATAATAAGCCTGTATCTTTCTGAAGTTTCCTGATGGTTGCTGCTGACGGGTGTCTTGCAATTGTCGTAAGGGCCGCAGGGGCTGGTCCAGCCACAACACTGGTTATTAGAGACACAACGCCCATCATTTGAAGAATTCCTTCTAACCAGAACTCAACATGCTGCCTCTTCCTCAGACTTTGGGAGCAGCTATGTCGCTGCTCTGCAAGAAGTGAGAGTGCAAACGCCTGCAGGTGAATCCCCACTAACAGACACCTAAAGGTTTTTTTTTAAAGAGCAACTATCTTCTGGGTGCAAAGTTTCAGTTATGCACAATAAGTAAGTTCTGAAAATACTATACAACATAGCACCTAGAGCAAACATTGTACTAGGTACTGACAAATTGCTAGAAGGGTACATCTCATGTGAAGAGTTCCTACCACATACACATACTCAAATAACAACAATAATAATAAAGGGGACAGGAGGAAACTTTGGGAGGGGGTGGAGAGTTTATGGCCTTGATGGAGGTGATGGTTTCACAGGTGTATACTTATCCGCACATGCACAGACGTGTATACATTAAATATGTACAGCTTTTTACATGTCAAAAGTCATACTTCCATAAAATGGTTAATTAGGAAAAATTACTGTCTTCCATGTAGGGTCATTTGGACTGGAACAGAATCTCCTCATTCAGTCACAATTATCTAAATGACACCTATATGCCAGGCATGAGGCCAGGTCAGCTCACAGCTGTTCTTCAAATGTCTAAGGGATGAGAAGGGATGAGTGAAATGTCCCTGAACTCTTACCCGGTGTTCATTGATCAGAAGGTCACGAGCAGCGTTGAATATCAGCGTGTGGAGGTGCTTTGAATAAAACACCAAGGTGTAGTCATAGTCAAAGCCATAGATCTCGATGTCCGAGAGGCTCATCTCATTGTTTGAGAAAATGGCATCCGGATTCAGCAAGTTGTTCATAATTGAAGGAACCAATTCTAGAGGTAAAGGAAGAAAATACATTACACCGTGTGATAAATAAGGGTTAGTAGGATTTCCAAGAAAATGAGCGAACCAAAGTGCAAGAGTAACCTGTTTTACCATGAACAGAGTACGCTGAGTGACAGAAGCCAGTCTCAAAGGACTGCATGTGTAAGATCCCATTCATACGAAATGTCTAGAACAGGCAAACCCATACAGACAGAGAAGAGAGTAGTGGTTGCCTAGGACGGTGGGGTGGGGAGAAGCAGAGCGATGGTAATCGGTACAGAATGTCTTTTTGGGGTGATAAAAATGTTCTAAAATGGATTACGGTGACAGTTGAAGAGCTGTTGTGAATATCCTAGAAAACCTGAATGGGAGACGTTAAGTAGATGAATTGCAGGGTATGTAAATAATATCTTGATGAAACTGTTATTGAAAAAGATTATTAGCTTCAACATCATAAAAAGATTTGTTTATAAAATTACACAAGTCAGTTACAGATTTGAGAAAATAAACAGATAATTAAATTTAAATATCACATCATCACCCACAAAAAAATATACTATTAATATTTCATGTGTTTGTCGCCAAAATTGTTTTAAGTTGACACAGCTGACCTCACACTATGTATAGTTTCACAGGGAGTCAGTGAAGAGGAAGAACCTCATGATGTAGCACTTTGTGACAGGAACAAAAACCATCCTATTTTGCTAAAAGGGTACGTAGCAGCATTCTTTCACTTTTTATGAGGTTTGTGCACCAGAATTTACTTGAAACAGCTCATAAGCAGACAAATGCTGAAGGCAGGTATCTTTCTGGAGATAGGTACAAAAACACAACATGTGGACAAACACTGAACTGTCCACATCTTCCTACTAAATGGAATTGTATGTATTCTACTACTTTTTGTTACTAAGGACAACCTGCTGGGTCCCTTACAATAGCTAATACTGATTAAGCACTTACCATGTACTGCACGCTGTCGTAAGCACTTGTATCACTTCATGTAATCCACACGAGGCAAATACTCTTATCCCACTTACATATGAGGACACCAGAGTCACACAGAAGTTATGTAATCTGCTGAAGGACATACACCAACTAAATGGCAGAGCTGAGCTTTGAACCTGGGAAGGCTAGCTCCAGAATCTATGCTTTTGGCTCCCTTCCCCAGGATTATGGGAATGAACAAGCATTGGAAAATGGTGCTTTTTCTAAAAATAAAACAGACTCACTCCTTCACAATTTCGGTGCTTTAGAGTCTACAGTGCTTCCCCTTTCCCTTCGGCTCACTTCTTTCTGACTAGGAATGGCCCACGTTATCCACCTGTGTTCTAATGGCCACCTGAAACACTCAAAAGGTACTAATCTAACAGGGTGACAGCTCCGATCAGGGGCCAGTCCCAGGCGCAATTCTGAACACTTCAGAAGGCCCCCTACAGCTTCACAGCTTGGAACCCTTTGAAAATCTAACATGCCCTGACTGGTGTGGCTCAGTTGGTTGGAGCATCGTCCCATAACCAAAAGGTTGTGGGTTGAGTTCCCAGTCAGGGCACAGACCTGGGCTGTGAATTCGATCCTGATCCCGGTGTGTACAATCCCTGGTCTGTGTGTGTGTACAGGAAGCAACCAATCGCTGCTTCTCTCTTGCGTCGATGTTCTTCTCTCTCCCCTCCTCTCATTCTAAAAGCAATTAAAAAATGTCCTCAGGTGGTAATAAAAAAATAATTTTTAAAAAAAGGAAAAAAACTAACAGATGCTATAGGATCCTCTCCCCAGAAAAATAGAGATTTTGCAGAAAATTTCAGGGAGATGACCCCTGAATCCTATTATAGTCTCCAGTTAAGTTGCCATATTACCCAGCCTTCAAACCAAGCCTTTACATTCCCACACAGAATTTCCAGGCTACTGAAGGCGAGTAAATGAATGAATGAATAGAGTGAATGAATTTCCCATTGACAGTCTAGATATGGCCAACTCTACTGAAAACCCAAATAGTCAAGATTCACTAATTCCATTCTTCATTGATTTTGACAAAGAAACTAATTAGACAATAACCTTGGCTTTTATTTTTTTGGCCACTAAAACCAAACTGAGTACAGGACACATCAACATTTTAAGAAACGTGAAGGCAAACAGTTGACAAGAACTAGTCCTGAGGAAGAGAAAAGCCGGTAGTCCCGAGCTCATTGGCATCTAACACCGAGACCTTCTGGCCTCACATAATCAGTGGGCCATCACAGATGATGCTATTTTCTGAATGCGACCATACGATGAAGTACGTGAAGCAGGATCACTTACAGAGTACCTGAAAGCTCTTCCACAAATAAACTTTCCAAGAGGAGTTCTGACAGCCTGTTTAAATAAGAAGTTTATATTTAGAAAGGGCATTGGCACTGAACTCTCCCTCCCTTTCTACTACCTGAGAAGAGTATGTGAAGCTCTCAAAGAAACGCTACCATGATGGAAAATCGTTAATAGCCAGCACATCTCCGAAAGCTGCCCAGGAATTTGTCCCCACTGAACGGAAAGCCTGAGGTGTATTAATCACATGAACATCATCACCAGAACACTTGGATGTTTGTCATCACTCAAAATAAACAGAAGAACATCAGAAGCTTAAAAGGGATCTCACCATGCCCTGCAACCACTTCAAAAAAGTGCTAAGAATAAAACAAATACTTACAAGGCAAAAGAAAAGAATGGCAATCACTCGCACAGAGGGTGAGTAGACTAAACTGTAGGCTCTAAAATATAAACGGAACGGCCCTTGACTAGTCAGTTATGCGCTTTCCCTAAGCGGAAAAAGAGTGCGGATGAATTTAGAAAGTGAATTCCTTTTGCACCTAATGTATGGTGACAGCAAACAAATTGTGCAAAAATGTAGAGAGACAGCTCTGTGTCTGGCCAGAGCCCAGTCCCAATGCAGCCACTGTGAGCTGGAAACTGAGTGCCTTTCGGGGGACCATGTTGAAGAGGGGACACCCACTGGCATACTTGGTAGCTTCTGGTCTTTCATCTGCTAATCCCACGGAGCCCTGGGAAATGCGATAAACTACCTATAGCAAAACATGTAAGCTTTGGGGTGGATTTGTTTACTCATTTTTCTTGTGGTAAAAATATGCCTAACATAAAATTTATCATCTTAACCATTTTTAAATATATGGTTCAGATATTAAGTTCATTCATATTTTTGTGCGACCATCAGCACATCTCTCTCTCCCGAATTCTTTTCATCTTGCAAAACTGAAACTCCATACCTGTTAAACCATAACTCCCACTTCCCCCATCCCCAGCCCCTGGTAACCACTATTCTACTTTCTATGAACTTGACTGTTTTGGGTACCTCGTAAAAGAGGAAACATTATGCTATCTTTTTTGTTTCTGGCTTATTTTATTTAGCATAATGTTTTTCAAGGCTAATCTGCAGCTTAGCATGTGTCAGGATTTCTTCCCTTTTGAAGGCAGAATAATACTCCATTGTATGGATATACCACATTTTGTTTGTCTACTCCTCCACCGAGGGACACCGGGTTACTCCTACCTCTTGGCTACTGTGAATAATGCTGCTATACACATGGATGTGCAGGCGTCTCTTTGAGCCGCTGCCTTCACTTCTTTATAGTAGATACCCAGAGGTGGAATTGCTGGATCATATAGTAATTTTATTTTTCATTTTCTTAGGAACCACCATACTGTTCCATAGCCACTGTACCATTCTCTGTTTTGATTTTTTTAAGACCACTACAAAAGAATTCCTTCCTTGCCTAAATTTCATCTTTACTACTGACAGAGAATGTGAATAAAGTCGTAACTTAGGTACAGAAGTCCAGGCATTTCCCACCGAGTCAAGGAAACATTTTAAACTGTGTAAAGATCCAAGTCTGGGAAATACAATTTTTGCCAAGTACTTCGTGCCTTTCAATGTTCAGAAATGCTAAATGACTGTCCCTTAATAAAGGCCTCATGCCCAATGGAGCAGTGTGTGGGGACAGTGCCAAGTACATACCCATGGCCTGAGTTGTGTCAAGAAATATTCCTACTCTCCTCAGAAAGGCAGCATCACGCAACTGTTCCTCAGCCCCTGGGGATACAGCACTGGGGATACATTACTTGCTCGCCGCATTATCCCGGCATGAGACAGGAGGGGCTGAAGGGGTGGACCTGACAAGGCGAGGTCTTCCAGGCCGCCCTTGATAAGCAATGGCTGTGGGCACTGCTTGCCTGTGCTCACCCAGCGTGGCTGCGTCCTCTGACACTAATGTTCATCACTCATCCAGGCACACGGGGAGGGCCGCAATCTTCCCTCCACTCCTCACGCGGGCTCTGGCCAGCTCTGGCTGAAAGACTGTGGGCAGAAGTGACAAGTGTCACTTCCAGGCCACAGCACACTCCCTTCTCCTACTGGGCCGATCACAGAAACACGTGCTACGGAGACACAAGACAAAAAAAGATGGGAAGGCTAAGCCACCACCTGGAGGGCAAGTGTCCCGGGATAGACTTTGCATGAGTGAGAAATAAACTTTGGTGACAGCTGTCTGCAGTAAGCCACTGAGATGTTGGTATTGCTTGTCACCACAGCAAAACCTAGTCTAACCAGACTGATATACCTCCTACTCCTCTAATATACAGAATTTCTTCAGGGAACTTCCCTCCCCAACATTCAGACTTGTCTTTCGGTGAGGTTCCTGACTTCAGGAGAGCATGTGACCAGGCCTGGCCGAACAGAGCCCCTCAATTCCCTCACCAACACAGATCCGTTTGGGGCAGGCACAGGACCCCTCAAGCCAATCATCATCACACTTTCCCTGCAGCCAAAGTGAACCCAGGAGTCCATTCAGGAAAGTTTCTGGATTTGTAGAGGAATTGCAAGGAACAGGAACTGTTCTTCCAAACTTGGACCTAAGAGGATATGAATCTAGAGATGTGAGAAGCCACTACTAGGAACCTGAAAAAGAGGCCAACAGGAAGAGAGCAAGGTCAAGAGAAAGAAGCAATCCAATGACATCATCTG